AGGCAACACTTCCAAAGAAGAATGTGCTCGGTCTCTTCCTGGGAACATTGGCAACTGTTTAGAGTTTTCCACTTGTGAATAATCTTTCTCACTGCAGAATGATGGACTTCAAAATGTTTCGGAATGTGAAAATTGACTTTTTGTAACCACTCCCAGATTGATGAGCAGTTACAATTGATTACTGCTGGCATCATTCCTACTTTGCATTTTGTTAACACCCACCTAAACTGTCCAGAACAGCAAACTGATAAAATGTTGCTTTTATAAAGCTGATTAGCAACACAGGGCAGTAAAATATACCTAGTTTTTCGCACACTGCATCTGCGTTTGGCTTAGTTTTTATTAAATAAGTAATAACAAATGCAATATGTAGTTTTTTTGCAGTTGATATGAGGTTTTATTTACCTAATTTTAAGACCTGCTAAGCACCAGGTTACTTATTACGTTCTGATATGTATAACTTTGGAATTTAAAGAGAGTGTTGTTATATCTACTAGTATCCCTCTCATCTCTTGTTAAATGCTAACTAAATAGCTGAATCTGAGCTCATTAGTGCATATGGAGGGATAACCACATCACTAGCTCCTCGTTAGCAGCCAGCAGCTCCTTCAGCCTTTAATGTGAGAAACCAAATGTGAAATCCAGCAGGCAGCTCCTGAATTAGATATGATCCATCATCCACTTTCACTCTAAACTGAAAGTCTTCAAACTGCTGCTATCTCATTATCAAAATGAAATAGTCTGCAAGTAGCATGCTGATATTTCCACTGCTGCCAGGTAATGAAAATATCCACATTCAATATGCCCAAATTAATCATAGTCACTAGAAGACACTGCTACCACATTTATATTCATTATGAAAATGATTTGAATGATTAAATACATGGTAGGTTTAAATACCAAAACAGTGATTTGATGAATAATGTTTTTCACGGGGATCAAATTTTAAAACTATGACGACATTTATTCTTTTCTTCCCCCCAAATCAAGTAAGACGCACCACTTTAGCCGAAGGGGCTAAGTAAAAATATCTATCAAAGGAAAGTCTTCCTCTTTCACTGGATGCCGGCTAGCCTCTGTGACAGATATGCAGAGGCAACACCTACACATATTGTTAAACTGTCTTTCAATCTGCCGGGCAAATCATGTCCCCTCATTCCCTCCTGACACTTGAATAATAGCTATACCCTCTAACCTCACGCACAATTGGAAATCTGTATGATAAGACCATCAGAAGTTAGCACAGTGAGAAAGACTGCAGTGTGCAGTCAGAAGTATGCACGCTACATCAAAGAGCCCTCATGGTCCCTGCTAGTGCTTCTTATCTGGTTGCCAGTGACTCTAAAGGTATTCACTTCTATGAGAGAAATACTGAAACTCTGTTGATAAATACACGACCATGTAACAGTAGCAATCACAAAAGGTTTTGTGTTAGACCTTTCAGAATATACTGAAACCTCTTTACACAAAACTCAGGCTAAAGTTAGAGGTGTTTTTAGACTGGTGGTGCACTGGTTTCATTAGTTTGGCTCTCTTTAATGGGCTCTATGTGGCTTGTGAACTAAAATGAGTTTCACACCCATTTACTAGAGCAATCATTAGTCTATGCAGACTGTACATATATGTAAGAAACAACTAATCTTTTACTGAGAGCTGCTCATAACAGAAATTATCCATATTTTATCAGAATCTATCTTAATTATCAGCTATATCAGTATAACTGCATTCTAAAGCCTCGAGAATAACAGGATAAAAATGCAGAGATTTCTGTCAATCTTGTGTAGTGTTTCACAAATTCATCCCCAATATGAACCAGGAAAAACCTCAAATGAAGTGAACACTTTATTACTTATTTACGAGGTGTCACATATCTGTAAAGTGAAGACGGGACTTCTTTCTCCAGAAGAAGTCAGATGGGGAGAAAACAAATTAACAAAAAGCAAAAAAAAACTTCATGTTTTGTATTCCTTTTGCTCTGCTGCCCCCAAGTGGTCAAATGTGGAAAGCTTTAAATAAAAAATGCATTGAAAAGATTAAATCTTCAACTCACCTTCAATATCTTGTCCAATTATTATGCCTGCCCATTTTCTCTGTGAACAAAGAGAAGTGACTGATTTAGTTCCATGCCTTATCATTTGCTCTTAAAAAGTGACGCACTATGGCAACAACCTTGCTAACATTTAGCAGTCTAAAAGGCACTAACATTTCCTACGAAGCTACCACACAGAAAACATCACTGCATGTTTCACAGCGCAACATTCCTCTGCGAGATGGTCTTATTTCACAAAACTCCACTGAAATACATCACTCGTGATGGGCAATTAGCCATTTTTATTTGACACAGCAGGCAGACTCAGTTTCCACGTTTTAAATGGTCATTCAGTAAGTATAATTCTTGTGGTAAAATAAGACCATTTTGAGGGGGTTACAGTAGTACCTGTGTGCGGTCGTAGCTGCCAAGTTTATAGATGGAAGAAGAGCAGGCAGAGAGAGGCAAGGCAAAAAGAGGAAAAAGCAGGAACAGACAGTTTGAGACAAACAAAGAGGTCCATGCAAAGAGCTCTCAAACTACCACAGTTTTTAAGTTTACTTGTCAGAATATCAGATTGCAAACTGCTATGAAGATTAAAAGAGCAATACACAACAATATGCTTTGTTGAACACCATCAAAGTGTTTTCATGCATTTTTTTAATAAGTGTCCCAAACAGTGCATCGTTTTAGTTTCCATGCTGGTCAGCTTGGTCATGTGACTACTGCAATCTACTGTAGGTAATGAGCTGTGGCTCAGGAACTCATAGAAACCTCTCATCCAAAACACTGAGCTATTTATTACTGATTAAAAACATTAATTGGTCAAAAGGGAAGTGTTTAAGTTTCCTGAAAACTACAGAAGCTCCTGACGCAGGTTACCTCTGCTTTTAAATACGTGCTAGGAAGTCACATTTTCCAGTCAATCACTCTGATCACTGCTGCACACCTAACAGCTAACCTGCTGCTTTTGTTCAAAATACAGTATATACCATCAATAAAACAGAAAAAGTACACTGTCAAGTCTAAGGTTTTACATTTCAGGACATAATAAACGATCTATTCTACAGCAGGTCTTAAAGTTAGGTAAATGCAACCTCAGATGAACAGAAACACATCATAAATTACACTATGTAATTATTATTTAACAAAAAATAAACAATGGAGAAGCAGCGTGTGTAATTACCCCTGATGATTTAGTATCTGTTGGACAGATGGCCTCACATTTAACACCTGAATACTTTGGTATGTAAAGAAGTTCATGGTCAACTCAATGACTGCGAGGTGCTCAGGTTGGCTGAAAAACAAGCCCCCCCCTCATGAGGTGTTGTTACTGATATCCACTATTTAGTTTTTGCCAAAGTAGCACTGTACATCATGGGTAAACCTCTCCACTTTACCTGTGCAAAGGACATTGCTCCAGAATCCTCGTGGTTTGTTCACATATAAATTTGCAAACTTGAGCCATGCTGCTGTTTATGTTTTGGAGAGAAGAGGCTTTCTTTTGGCAGCACTTCCAAACAAGTCACACTTGTTCACTCTTTCTCCAATGGTGCTGTCATGAACCTTAACATTTAACATGCTAGCTGAGGCCTGTACAGTCTGAGATAGATGTGTTGGGTTATTTTGCTGTTTCTTTGAGCTTTGCACGGTCTGATAATTAATTTTGCACAGACTGTTTCTGCATTTTAACTTTATTCATTTATGACACATTTATTTAAGTCATGTTTTATGGTTTATCTGAGTTTGTTTTTACCCAATTTAAGACCTGCTAAGGTCCTGACATCTTTGAATTTAAAGATGCTGTACTTACAGAAAACAGTCGTGGTAAAAAAGTATCGGTAAAAATACAGAGATATCATATTTGCAGGAAATGCATCAAGGAACCGAGTAATCAGTGACAACATGCGGCCAAGGATCATCTGAAACTCTCAAACATTCGAGCCTACCTGAGCCTGACTGAAGGCGATGGTGTTGATGTTCACACTGGAATGCGGCTTCAAGGTGAAAACATACTTGTGGGCTGAATTGCGCACAATCACGTGACTGCATCGAGACGAAGAATTAGAAGGAAAGCAAACATGAAGCAAATACTTGAAACAAACAAATTCCCATTACTTTTTCAAACGAGATACCTTGGCTGGAGTTACGAATGAAGTCATATATTATAAATGTAATGGTAACATGTTCGACTGTCCTTCACAGAAGCACCTAACATGTTTACGTTAATTGTCTTTGATGAATTTATGATTATAAACTGAATGATTTGAGCTGGACAGTTCATTCTTGGCCTTTTAACAGCATAACAACAACAGTTTGTATCTATGTTACTTTAAATTGTATCTTACTGGATTAATCAGACCATGACTCAGCAAATGCCATGGACATACAAACATCCATCCCATAATGGGCTCTTTAACTGGGTCTGTCCATCTACTAGAACGTCAAAAATCTGACAATGCAGACATCACTATCAGCTGATACATAAACCCACTGGTTTGACGAAACTAGACACACAGCCTGTGTAGATGCACACCAAAAATCTGACTCACAGTTCAAAGTGTTGATCCTTGTCACTGACGATAGCACAGTTGGTGAGCGACAATTCGTCTGACGGGCATCGAGCCGTTTGCATAACCTGAACAGAGAGAAAAAAAAATGTGACTTTGCAAAAGACAAAAAATACAAATAAAAGCATTTTTCAAGTTATGTCTTTACATCACTTGTGTTTGTTTTGTGTTGAAAAACCTCAGGGTAAAAGGTTTGGTCGGCCTATGGTCATACAAAAAAGAATCAGATCATCACACTTGGCCAGAATAATTGTAAATTAACTAATTTAATTTTGCAACTCCAATTTAGACTTTTGAAAGCTAAAACTGTTAGTGCATTACCTCACTTCTTTTACCAGTTAAAGGTAAATTTGTCAGGTGGGAAGTGCATCATGGGGAAAGATAATTTGTATTATTTCCTGCCTTTTTGGATTTAGCCAGCTGAATTTAACAGCATAGCACGCGTGTGCTGTCATGGCTGAACCAAGAAGCCTTTTATTGCTAGTATTAATGAAGTGTGCCTTCAAATGTTGGTTTAGTGCACCCTAATCTTTAAAAAGGTTTAAAACTAGAAGTCCAATGCACCACAGGCCTGTACAATCTTTTTTTTCAGTGCTGGTAGGTTTTTTCCTGTCAGTTGCACTATGCAAAGCAATGATGTCAAAGCCACAGCAGAACATTAACCTTCTGCACACCTGAGTCACATGCATGCATGCTTTTTTTACTACTCTCTTTGCGTAGCCTAGTCAACTCTTAGACTGGCCTTGAAGAATCATTTTGTACTGTAATTGCACACTAGGTTTGCAGCTCAGTGATCTTTATGACTACACATCAGGCTGTTGTGTAAAAAAATAACTATGAAACTATGAAAACAGAAAATGTCTCAAGGCAAATTCATACACAAGTCTTTATACTGACACATACAGGCTGCGCAGCAAAAAAAAAACATTACTAAACCAAATTACTGTAGAAACACTGAAAATTACAAGAAAACCCCCATCTCATTACATCCTTCTTAGAAAGCGACCAAGATTTAACCTGCTTTCATCTCAAATATTGAAAAAGATGATTAAGTGCTGACCTAGATCTAAAAACATTAATCTTGGCCTACTTTGAGCATTTCAGGAAGTAGGCTTTCTTGTGCCTTTCAGCTCTCCTGATAATCTCAGATTGTCAGTCTATCCGAGGTCAAAAGTATTAAGAATTGTTATTTTTTTGGCGAGTTGTTGGTGATAATAAGAACTGTTTTAGGTTTGTTCATTGAAAAAGGGAAAACAATAGCAGGAAGTGTCTCAACCCATGTTCAGTAGGCCCCCTCCCCTTCCTCTCTGAACAAAAAAAGTACTAAAGTACAAAAAAAAGCCTAAAAAAGCCTCTGAAACTGAAGAAGTCACCTGGATGAATCATTAAATGTTTCTCCCATTGAAAACACTACGTCCAGGTGAACAGACTCGATTTTATTGTACAGCAGAAAGGTGACATGGCGTGTAAAACCATACTTGACTCACATTTGCAACTACACTCAGTATCTATTATAAGATTTAGCCCAAGAGGCCTCTGTTTTTCTCAGCAATAAGTTTGATGACAGAACAGCAGTGAAGCTTACTGTCAATATGGGTGTAGTTAGTAACTTAGCTCCACACAGCAAACAGTGACCGCGATGTTGAACTGGGGGAATGAAAGAACATGTCCACAGCGGCCCTCAATTTTGTTATCAACATTTAAGACGTTTACTGGGGAAAATCTGATAAAAGTCCTTTATCAAACCATCTGTTTAACGAGCTTAAACAAGAAGATAATTGATCTTTCCTCTTACTCTCATCCAGCGCCACTTTGTTTTACACAGCTACAGCAAAACTGACTAAAAACTAAGGCTGTGTGTTTGCAGACAAAATGCACGTTTACATGTTGCACTGGCTGAGAACAGCCCATTCTTTCTCTTTTTGACAGTAACACCTGTACTATGCCGAGGTGAATCTAAACAACGATCACTACATTAATTTTAAAGCTATGGTTACTAATATTTTGCACATGAATTATGCTATAGTACTAACTGTATTAAATACAACTTTAATGGAAAAAGCTACTTGACTATAATGCATCAGATTCTCTCACGCCTTGACTGAGATGCCTTCAAATAGACTAAACTTTATTAATATAGCCTAGTAGCTCTTTTCCAGTATTACTGATCAAAACATTTATAATACACACACATTAATACAGTACTTTTAATGCTAAACTATTGTATAGTGTTTTTTCTCCTACAATGCTGATATGTCTGCAGCAGCAGGGTTGCTATTAAAGGTGCATCTTATTTTGCAAAATCAGCGGCTGTGCTGTTAACGCCTCCCCTTACAAATACACTTGTAGCTAGATTGGGAAATCCTGGGTTAACTTAATGATGACCAGCTTCACGTGACTGCTTAGTCTGATTGACATGTCAGGGGTGAATCCAGACAAAGGAAACATACCCAGGGTATACTAACCTTGCTTTCAATTACAGGCCCCAGCACCTAAGCAAATATATTACTACATATAACAAAAATGCTGGTAAAATGTGTGTGAATTAATATATAGGATGATATATTAGAATATCACACTTTTAAAATCACCAAATACCCTATATCTCTGGGCCAAAACACAGTGGCATAGGGCTTTTCAGACTTAATTACTGGTTAATTAAAAGTAGCTAAAGTATTAGTAAAAATGCAATTTTTAACACTGAGTTAAAAGCAAGTTTGGGCTTACAGTAAACGTTTCTCTTTATGTGCCTTTCTTGTTCCCTTTTACCCATTAAACACCGCTACACTTCCTTCATTTCACTTCAGAGACACATCCAACCCTGAACAGCAGGTTTTTTATATCGAGGCTAAAAACACAGCTAAACAGCCCAAATATGGCAAATGTTACTTATAATAATTCACAGGTGGGAAACAAAAACAGCTGCATGAATGCTGAGTTTCACACTGGTCATAAGATACGCCATTTGTCTTCCGGGCTGCCTACGAAGATATGAATGACAACTGAATCTGCCACACAGCTAGTGCTGTGCTGGCTCACTCTCCGAGTACAAACCCCCCTGCAGTCCTCTAAGTGTACTTCCGGCTTATTCTTCAATATTTTCCGCTCCAAGTGTACTTCTGAGTCTGAGCTTCAAATAAACTCACCCGTGAAGACATCACTGTGGGCTGTTTTTGTTTTTTATCCTACTTCTGGTAAAACTCTGCATCAAGCTTCCGCTGACAGAGGTAAACGCACAGAATGACGTCGAAGGAGGCGGGATTTCAACACGTACTGTAACGTCATCACGCAAGCAACGGGAAGCTTGTTTCTGAAATCCTTATAGACACCCATAAAACTGATTTTCTCCCAGGTTGGATTGCTCCAAGGTGACAAAAAAAGGCTGTTTCAGATAATAGATAAAACAAAATCTTTTCTATATGGGGAAAAATGATCCACAATAACATTAGGCTGGGTTTAGACTTAGTTTTAGATTACAGTCTTCAGTTTTTATTATGCCTGTGTTTTCCTTTCATATTAGAAACCCTCAGAAATTTCAAACTGGGATGTTATGTAGCCCTTGGACCAGGTTTATCTGGTCCTAAGTCCAGCTATAATAAAAAAAAAATTGGCGTTGAAGAAATAAATGTTTTAGGAAATCAGATATTAAAATGTCAATTTGTGGATGATACAACATTGTAATTTGTAATATAAAGGTGAAAACACATATTAAACATATAGGCATTATTATCACTGGGAACAAGGATTATGGGAGAAAAGAACAAATAAACAAAAAATGTGGCTAAAATGTAAATGTGCTAAGTCAGATGGATTGTGGATTCTGTGAAGAAGATAATGTGTGAAACGTTTTTGTTTTGTTTTCTCAAAATAGTTTCTGTAGATGAAGAACTCTGTGCAGTAGAGCAATGTTCGGATGTGGTGGAGGGGAGAGATTTACATCACGGACGTGCAGCCAAGAAATCTGCAGGAACTGTTGATATTATGTCAGTATTGACCAAAATATCTGAGGATTGTTTCCAGCAGCTTGTTCCACCTGTGCTACTTAGCAATAAGGCTGTTTTAAAGGGAAAATGCATATGGAAGTGTCCAGTGAGTGTATGATCTATCTGCTCTGGGAATCATATCGTTTCCACATGAAAAACTTCTAATAAAGAACTACTATAAATGTGCAATTTGATAACCACGTCTTGTTCTATGAGTTATAAAAACTTAAATATAACAGCCTTCAAATCACGTGGACAGCAGAAAACTATTTATGAAAATATAAGCTGGAAAACAAGATGCTTAAATTTCAAAGGCAAATGGAAATCTTTATTTCAGATGTGGAAAATCTGTAAAAAATAAAATAAAATAAAAAAAATCTATAGAAATGCTGCGAGGGGATCCAAACTTTCTCATAATGATGTAGTATTTGATCTGGAACTCTTAATTATCATGACAGCTACAGTAACGACTTGTGCTTCTTGTTTTTTGAGGAAAAGAAATAAATCTTGCTTAGAATCATAGAAAAGGTTAATTCAATGTGATAAAACAAATTACTTTTAGTGAAAAAAAGCAAAATGAAAATCAAAGCCATTAGAAAAAATGGATTTAATGCCCTTTGATGTAAAGTTGTTACTGACAGAGCAGCACACAAAAGTGTAGTCTTGTTCTTAGGGTGTTAACATCTCCATTTTGGGAGTAATTTTAATTTTTTTAATGTAAACACCTCTTCTTTAAAAAAAAAAAAAAAAGACATTTGCTATCGTATACATCATCTGGGATACTCTACCATCATTAAATGCATGTCAGAGAATTTTGCAACATGAAACACCAGCCTACTAACCACCTCATGCAGCTTAGTGGTTAACAAACTAGCTCCATCGGCCCAAATTATCAACTTTTTTTTTTCTTTTTTGCAAGAGACAAGACAAAATCCTTAAAATACAAAATATTTATTTTCGAAAATGTCTTTATAAGAGAAAAACAAAACGAGAAAAGAAAAAAAAAATCAAAAACCAAATCAAAACCATACAAATTGTTTGGTTGCTAGCATACCACACTAGTGCTAGGAACTAACAATGGAGAACTGTTCACCCGGGTTAACTCACAGACGCTCAGAGGCGATGATCTCCACCTCTACCCTGCGATCTCATTGCATCCAAACACTGAGGCAAACAGAAGCGCCGAAAACATGGCACTAGTGGTGAAATGGCATCCTGTCTGTTCTAGAAACGTATAATAGCAGAAGGGGCAGACGTGGCAACCATCTGATTTCCTTTTTTTTTTTAAAAGAAAAAAAAAGAAACACAAAAACCAAAAACAAAGAAAGTGTTTAATACATATCTGAAATACAGAGGGGACTAACTGTTGGCATTGATATGGCGAGGAGGAGGAGGGGGAAAAAAGAGCTAGAGGGAGCTCTTGGGCTAAAAATCAGCACTCCAAGGAGCATCCCAACCTTCCAAAAAACTGAACAGTGTGCTTCTGAAAGATATGGAGGAGGAAGAGAAAGCCTCGCAGAGCCCGAGGCCACAGAGGTCAAAGTTGCACCTTTGAGGTTGCAGTGGAGTCAGCTTTAAGGCTTGGCAGGCCGAACCTTACAGCAGATATAAACATATATATATTCTTAAACCTTTCCATCTTTTTTTATTGTGGTTGTACAATATTCCCTGATGGCCTGATATGGCCGCTGAGTGTTATACAGAATCCTGAAGAGATATCAAAATTAAAAAGAATAAAAAGAAAAGGAAAAAAAAGAAGAAGTGATGAAATTGTCCGTGGAGGAGGGGTAGAGAGGGGGGAGGGTTTGATGGTGGGGGATCCTGTTTTGTTGCAGTTTGTGGGACTTCCTGTTGCTCTCCCTTGTCCCCTCTGAAAATGTTGCACACGCTGGTCAAACACACAGTTTCTCCATCTCACTGCTGCAGTGATCTGCTCTGAGGGGGTTTAAAAAAGAAGAAGAAGAAAAATAGATTTAGACGAGAGAAAGAAGACTGCACATATAAGCGAATCCTTTAATTTTACTCACCTATGTCAGCTTCTTGGCTTTGTTGTAAAGCGAATCCACGACTTTGCTCATGTTCTGAATTGTTTCCAAAGCTGCTTCGTATGTTTTGTCCACTGGGGGTTCTTCAAATATGATCAAAACACCTTCACCTTGGTCGAGGATTCCTAAGGCGGCGTGCAAAAAAAAGTATTACAGCAGACTGCCGAGTATAGCTTTGCAAAATACTTTTTTTTAATACAACAACACAATTACCGTGAAACTTTTTGTCCAGAATCATTTGTGATAATTTCCTCTCAACATCGCCCTAAAGAGATAAAGATGAGGAATTAAAAATGAGCTCAGATACACAAGACTGAATGTTAGCTTAAAATTTTTTAAATAAATAATAAATCCAAAATGCAGCAACACTCACCTTAGATAGTTTGATTAGACCTGATATGTGTTCTATCTGAAAACCGAAGGATACAAATTAAATACAGGTCTTAATTATACATTTTTCAGTTGTAATGATGAAGAACAAACAATAACATCAGTCTGTACTAGTGTTAAGTAATAGACCTGTTGCAGTCACGCAGACTTCCGCTTCTATTGTTTGATAGAAACACGCAGTATAAACTGTATGATTAGCACAAGAGTTAAATCAAATAGAAAGGCTTTTAATGTAGCTGCCTCATCATGCTAATAGTCCACAGTGTGTCCGTGTGCCATTTCTGGATATTGCAGGGTTTCTCCAGGATCACTCAAACTGATATACCTTTGGGAAATAAGGTGCATCTAAAATATATTCACGCAGTTATGCAGTGACTCTAGAGACAAACATGCCAGTATCTCCCAAAGTTTTCACCAAAATGAAAGTGTAATAAACCAAACAGCAGGGGAAGGGGAAGCATTATTGCTTATAAAATCAAGCTTTCAGGCCAAGAGATGGTATCGCATTAACTCAGAAAAGCAGAGGGTGGCTTATATGGCTGCCAGGGCAACAAAGTCTGCTAGCGGCTGTATTTACAATGATCCCATGTTATGAGATGTTTTTTCTTCAAAGACACAAATACAACTTTACTTTTCGGCAAATGTAAAGTTTTAGGACCGATCGGTAAAAGTTGTCACATTTTGTATTACAGTGGTGGGTTTCCTCTATACACCTGAGCTTTGCATGTTCTCACCTGCACTCTGGAAAATGGTTCAATGACTCGGATGAGGTTTTGTTCCAGCAGGTTGTCGTACAGCTTGGCCAGGTGAGTGTTGATGATTGGGTCGTCCCGCAGCTCTGCTCTGTACTCTGTGAGGGCCTGGAACATGCCAAACTCTGACTTAGGAAAACTTTAAATTGTCAAACAACAAGGAGGCTTAAAACACAAAACGTCAAGGTTTTAATCCTTCAAAATGAAAATCGAGGACCTAATGTTAACTTCTGAGTGTGCCACCTCACCATCAGCTGACAAATGTGAGGCCAAAGAGACCAAAATGACAAAATGTGTGTTTCTTCATCTTTATGTAAAGCCACCGGGCAAAATTTGACAATGCTAAAAGCATTCTTACCTTTTCAAAATCTGCTAATGATCTGTTCTTGCTGGCCTGGGCTACACATTTCAATGCTTCTGTCTACAAACAGAAAGATGAGAAAATAAAATATTAGTAATGTTTTTATAAAGAAAAAAAAAATTAATGAAGCACCCACACAAAACTAAGAAATATCTGGTAGTTACAGTGAAGGTCATTTTCTTCTGAAACACACCAACACATTTATTTAAATTCAAATAGCATCAAAGATTTGAGTAAAATTCTGCAGCACTCGCACAAAAACTGTGTGCTTCACTTAAATAACACGTTTATTACACCTTTACACACTAAAGCTGCCGCTTTGTGAATAATCCACAACTGATATTTCTATTTTATTTAGTTCAAAAGGTGGTTTGCAGCATTTGTGATTCTTTCAGTGTCTGGATAAAAATCCAGTGACAGCTTGTACTTGCCTGTCTGCCTGCGTATCTGAGGGCCAGTTTACCGCTGATCAGGGCTTGTACCTCCTCTGGCCTGAAAAAGTCAAGTAATAAATACATTCATTAGACCTTTAAAGAGTGTTTAGTACCACGTATTACTGTAAAACAGTATAAGTACTACTTACGAGTTGAGTACAATTTTGCACAGGAGCATGTATTTGAGTGCTGTGATGGCTCTGGGGCTGTCGATCGAGTCGTAACCCTCGAAGGCCTCAAAGAAGTAGGAGTAGGCCGTCTTCCAGTCTTTCTCCTCTGCTG